AATGACTGATCTGTCCTTGGGTCTTGCAACTAGGTGCCAAACCTGACTTCTCTCGAACTGATTGAGTTCATCTTGCATTGCATTTACTCAATCTGCATCCTACAAAGCCTCAACAATATTTTTAGGTTCAATAAGAGATAGGAGAGCTTCAAAAGCACACAGATTCTTTAATTGTGATCTAGTTTTGACTCCAGAGGTTGGATCAGTAAGTATGTTCTCAACAGGATGAGAACTTTGATACTTGTGAGATTTCACAACCAACTGATTTCTGATAGATGTTTCTCCCATGTTCTGTTGCTGAGGTACAGGGTCATGAACAGGTTCCTTTGGGGGATTGGTTTCAGTTCCTATTTGATCATTTCCCCCTGTCAGGATGCCCTAGATGGAAGAACCTGTTCCATCACCTGTTCCTTCTTTGTGCCATTTTAGCTTGTGCTGAGACTTCAGTCAAATCTTTTACCAGCCCAATAACCTCATCTTCATGTTCCTGTCTCTCAGAAAGAATGTTAGTTTCATCAAACACTACATGAACACTTTCTTCTACACACAAAGTTCTTTTATTGAACACTTTATATGCTTTGCTATGTGAAGAATATCCCAAGAATACTCCCTCATCACTTCTGGGATCAAACTTACCTAGGGAGTCCTTTCCATTGTTATGCACAAAGCACTTGCATCCAAATGCCCTATGATTGGATATATTTGGCTTTCTCCCTTAAATAATTCATAGGGAGTCTTCTCTACAAGAGGTCTAGTCATGCACCTATTGATGATGTAACATGCACTGTTTACAGCCTCTGCCCAGAAACTATAGGGCAGTTTACTAGAAAGAAGCATTGTCCTAGCAATATCTTCAAGAGTCATGTTCTTTCTTTCAACTACTCATTTTGTTGAGGAGTCCTAGGGGAAGAGAAGTTATGATTTATACCATGCTCATCAAAAAATTCAGCAAACTTAGCATTTTCAAATTTAGTTCCATGATCAGACCTAATGGATGCAAATTGATTACCTAGTTGTTTCTGAGTTTTTCTAACAAAAGCAGTAAACATGTCAAATGCTTCATCTTTAGATGTTAAGAATAGTACCCAGGTAAACCTAGAGTAATCATCAAGTACCATCACATATTTCTTACCACCTCTGCTCAATGTTCTCATTGGACCACAGAGATCCATATGAACCAGTTCCAATGTCCCGGTTGTGCTTACGATTTTATTGCTTTTAAAAGATGATCTTACCTGCTTCCCCCTGGCCTCACAAACTTTGTCTTCCTTGAACTTGATGTTAGGTAGCCCTATCACCAAGTCCTTGGAGACTAATTTGTTGAGTTGATTCAGACTTGCATGACCAAGTCTTTTGTGCCACAGGAGGGATCATTATCCAACATACTTAAGCAAGTGAGTTCATTTTCTGAAAGAGTAGACAAATGTACAATGTAAATATTGTTAACTCTTTTTTCTTGCAAAACAATCCTGTCAGTGGTAAGGTTAATCACAAAACATTTGGTAGAGGTAAATGCTACAAGGTTACCTCTGTCACACAGTTGTGACACACTGATTAGGCTATACTTCAAGCCATCTATCAAGTATACATTCTCAATGGAGTGAGAGTCTGTCTAACCTACCTTTCCAACCCCAATAATCTCACCTTTCTTCCCATTTCCAAAGGAGACATTGCCTCCTTTTAAGTCCTCAAGTGAAAGGAACTGGTTCTTGCTTCCAGTCATATATTTTGAGCAGCCACTATCCATGTACCATATTTGGCTGCTTCCCTTCACTTGGACCTGCAAAAAGAAATCAAGGGTTAGTCTTAGGAACCCAAACTAGTTTGGGTCCCTTTCTATAGGCAAAGGGGTAAATCAAATTCCTTTTAGCCCAACCAGGCAGCTTATTTTTCTCTTGAACAAAGACTTTGTTCTTTTGACTGGCCTTTTCCTTTGCATTACATTCATTTTTGTAATGGCCAGTCTTGCCATAATGTGTGCAAATTTTGTTTTCAGGAAAAGTGAGGTACTTGCTTTTAAGGTCCCACTTAGGTGCTTGAGTCCCATAGCCAAGTCCTCTTTTGTTGTTGATGTTCTTGTAGCCAGGAAAGTGCATCAGAAGCCTTATTCCATTTGCAAGTTTTGTCTAGTTCATGTTATACCTTCCCTAGGTCTTCTTTTAGGACTCTTATCTGCTCATTCTTTCTGTACAACTCATCCTTCATTTTTCCTAAGTTTTCTTCTAAGGTGAGGTGTGTGTGATCAACTTTCTTCTTTCCTGTTCCTAATTTCAGTTTTAAATTTTCAGACCTAAGCTCTAAGACACTGGTGTCAAGTTCAAGAACCTGTTTCTTCAACTCAGCATTTTTACTGTCACTCTCATTAGCCCTAGATTCTAAATTTCTGCACTTGGCTTTTAAGATTGCACACTCCCTAGACAGATCTTCCTTCTCATTGTTAATTATCTCAGACTCATCAATGAAGTCTAGCAATAGTTCAGATAACCTTTCTTTAGACGGAAATTTAATCTTGTCTTTGAGATGAAGGATACTTACCTCTTGTTCATCATCTGATTCTCCGATGGCCATAAGTGCTTGTTCATCTCCAACTTCATCTTCTGAGTCCTCATCTGATGTTTCTCCCCAAGCAGCAACCATAGCCTTTGTTGATCCTTTGTTCCTTTTGGGTTGAACCTGTTCCTTCTTCCTGTTCCTACGTTCAACCCTTTCCTTCTTCCATTCACTTTCCCACTGAGGACAGTTCTTGATCATGTGATCAGTCTTACTACATTTGTAGCAACCCTAGTTGGTTTGTTTCTCATGACCCCTTGGTTTGTTGGAGGTTATACCTCTTGAGAACCCTTTCCCCTCATTAGGTACTTTTTGAAATCTCTTGTGATCATGGCCATTTCATCATCCTTCAGATCTGCACCTTCAGCTATTCTGAGAGCCAGACTTCTTTCCTTCTTGGGTGCATCCATTTTCATGGTTTGCCTCCTTAGTTCATAGGCAGTGAGGTTTCCAATTAGTTCATCCAGCTTGAGGGTAGCAATGTTCTTTGATTCCTGAATAGCAGTGATTTTGCTTTCCCAAGTCACTGGTAAGACTCTTGTCAAGATTTTCTCAACCTTGTCTTCATCAAGAATAATTCTCCCAAGAGATTTAAGTTCATTTATTAGTGTTGTGAACCTTGTGTACATCTCCTGGAGTTTCTCCTTCCTTCATAGTGAAATTCTCATATTGAGAATATAGCAGTGTTCCTCTTGATCTCTTTACTTGAGGAGTTCCTTCATGAGCCACTTGTAAAGTGTCCCATATTTCCTTGGCAGTGGTACAACTTTGAATCCTGCTGTACTCGTCTGGCCCCAGTCCACACACAAGCCATTTCTTGGCCTTGGCATTCTTCTCCCATTTTTTAAGTCTTCAGCAGTGCAGTTAGCTCTTGTCTTTGGCACGTCCACTCCTTCATCATTCTTGTTTGTAGTTGCCAGGGGACCATCAGTGACTATGTCCCAGAGTTCATAGTCTTTTCCTATGATATGATCTCTCATCCTGTTCTTCCACTAAGAATAATACTGACCATTAAAGAGTAGAGGCCTAGCACTGGATTGCCTTTCCCAGTTTCTAGGTGGTGCACTCATCTTGATCTTTTCCTAAGGTGTTAACCTCTTCAAGGATAACCCGATCTCATACCAATTGATGTTTTAAGCGTCAATACCACATAAGAGGGGGGGGGGGTTGATTTGTGTGGTACCCAATTTTCGTAATAGAGGAACCTGGTTCTTCTAGGTGTTCCAACTACTACTGTTTGCGGAATAATAAACACTAAAAATAAAGAACACAGAGATTTTTACGTGGAAAACACCTGGCTCAAAAGGTAAAAAAAACCACGACCTACTACTCAGTAGGATTTTCCCAAACTTCCACTAAAATCACTGAGCCAAAACAACATTTACACAAACTCTTTGTAAGCCTAAGGATTAACTCTAATCCCGTTGTGGCGCACAGCCTCAACTGTTGCGATAACTTCAAGTTAACTCTAACTTCAACACTCTAGGTACCTAATACAATTGCTTCTATGAAAGCTGAAAGGAACAAAGTAAAATCACCTACAACAATTGAACTAGAATAAAAGATAGACACTAGGAATTGGTTCTTCTATCTCGTTCAAGTAGCTTCAGGAGTGCACACTCAATCACACATAAATTGCTTTGAAAAATCGCCTTGCTCTTTTGCTCTCAATTTAAGTTTAACTTCTGCTTATGTGCATTACCTGTAAAAGAGAATAACACTGACATTTAATAGGTTAGTAATCAGAGTTTGACTGGGATTCAGTTGCTGCTCTTCTATCATAGAAGAGTTCATGATGATCTCAAACTCTAACACTATATTCATCCTAGATTGTGTTCTCTTCATGTAAGGAGTCTTTCTCTCTTTATCCAATATTCAACCTTTTCGATCAGATCAGGAGATATTGTTGCTCGATCAATTAGACTTATCTCCTTCACGTGCATCTCACATGTACATATAGATCATGACTGTGCTTCACAAGATGGACCTGGTCCATGTCTGAGTTCTTTTGTCAATCTTCAAAACTTCACCTGTTCTTAGGCCAACATCTATGCACCTGTTGCCCACATGGAGACGATTCGTTTGCTGATCTCTTTGGCGGCGCAAATAAAGTGGAAGATCCATCAACTAGATGTCAAGCCAGCCTTCTTGAATGGCTATCTTGAAGAAGAAGTCTATATTGAACAACCATTGGGCTTCGTGGTCAAAAACCATGAAGATAAGGTGTTGTGGTTGAAGAAAGCTTTATATGGATTAAAGCAAGCCCCACGAGCATGGAATAGTTGCATCGAAATTTTTTTCAAGACAATGGATTTACTCGTTGTCTCCATGAATATGCTCTTTACCTTAAAGTTCATACTAATGGAGATATCATACTTGTTTGTCTTTATGTTGATGATCTTATTTTCACGGGCAATAACTCAAGTTTGTTTGAAACTTTTAAGAAAGATATGTCTCGTGAGTTCGAGATGACAGACGTAGGGCTCATGTCATACTACTTGGGCCTAGTAGTGAAGCAGATGGAGGATGGAATTTTTATCTCTGAAGAATGCTATAAAAAAGAGATATTGAAGAAGTTCAACATGCTCGATTGCAACCCTGTTAACATACGGATGGAGAGTGGGACAAAATTATCCAAGTTTGATAAAGGAGAAGAGGTGAATCCCACATTTTTCAAAAGTCTTGTGGGAAGTTTAAGGTACTTGACTTGTACCAGGCCAGATATACTCTTTGAAGTTGGAGTAGTATGCCGCTTCATGGAAGCTCCTATCTCTACTCATTTGAAAGTCACTCGAAGAATTCTTCGTTGCCTAAAAGGTACGATTGACTTTGGGTTATTTTATTCTTCTTCTAATAATTTTAACCTTATGGGATATTGTGATAGTGATTATGCGGGAGATATTGATGATAGAAAAAGTACAATTGGTTTTGTATTATTCTTGGGTGATTCTTTTATTTCTTGGAGTTCAAAGAAACAATCAGTGGTTACTCTCTCGACTTGTGAAGCAGAATATGTAGCAGCAACATCTTGTACGTGTCATGCTATTTGGCTGAGAAGATTATTGAAGAAGCTCAATTTGCCACAAATTGAAGCTACAGAGATTTGTATCGACAACAAATCCGCACAGACACTCGCGAAAAATCCAGTGTATCATGATTGAAGCAAGCATATAGATACAAGGTATCACTTTATCAGAGAAAGCATTGCCTAGAAGGAAGTCGAGCTCAAATATGTGAAGTCTCGTGATCAAGTTGCAGATATCTTCAGAAAGCCTCTCAAGTTTGAAGATTTCCATAGATTGAGATCAAGACTTGGAATGAAGAAGAAAAATCAAAATTAAGAGAGAGATTTGTGGGACCCATTTAAATAAAAAAAAGAAAATGAAGAAAACAAGTTGAATGGACGTCTGACAAAGTTGTGCAATTTGCAAATGCAAGTTGCAGCAAATTTGATTTTGGTAACCAAATCGATGCAACCTTTAACCAATCGTTTTGATTGGTTTATTTGGACGGTAATTCACTCTATAAATAAGAGCCTCGCTTCTTCATTTGAAGTACACCAAAATCAGAGAGCGAATAGAGTATAGAGAGAGTAATCCACGGATTGTAGCCTGTGAGATAAATATTGAGTGGGAGTAATATTGTAGTGAGATATTCAAAATAAAGAGTGTTATTTCTTTTGAAGTTGTAGTAGTCTCTTGACACTACAAAGTTGTATTATTATATAGTGGTATTATATTGCTCCACTCGGGTACTGTAATTTACCCCGTTAAAATATTTGGTATCGTTGTTACTCTCTTGTGTCATTATTATATTTACCGTGAATATTATTCCTGGGTGGGATATTATTTTACACAACAAATAGAACAAACTATAGGAAACTCAATTCAAGAAAATGAAAAAAGAAGCGTCCTATCTTCTTCCCTGATGCCGTTTTTGTGCTTGTTGATTTTAGGGATTAATTAGTGTGTAAAATTATAAGCCAAGGAAAAGAAAACAATCATGAATAAAAAGAACGAATAAAAATCTGTATTCGTGGCGCTGACATGGCACCGAAAACTCACATTGTGAGACTGGTGTTATAATCTCAGGGTGGTATTTATTCCATTCCAAACAAGAATAGGAGGGCAAATAATCAAGCTTAAAGTTGCCGTGTGCAACCTAGTTTTTCGGTCAAGTTTGTGGGGGAACTTATGTATTTTGTCATTTTAGAACGATAACTTGGTTCTAAAATTAATATTTATATATTTTTAATAAACTTTTTAACACAAATATATCGTTTTAAGCAAAAGTTATTAGATTCGACCGAATCCGCATTCAGACTTCTAGCTCCGCCCTTGTAGGGTGCCTGTCACGGTCCTTATGAAGTTGGGACATGACACAAGTCATACATTTGGGGGCATTTACATCTATACCCGCTTTTTGTGTCACATTTTAACTTGTGCCCGCTTTGCAAAAAAAATTGCAAGCGTACCCGCTTTTTCGCATAACTTCAGCATACGGGGCTGAAGTAGCAAAGACAATCACGCAAAACCTCAGCATTCTAGTAGCCGGACCTGAAGTTTTTGTTTTGTAACTGGCGAACTTCAGCTCTAGAGCTGAAGTTTTTATTTTTGTAACTGGCGAACTTCAGCTCTAGAGCTGTAACTGGCGAACTTCAATTCTAAAGCTGAAACTTTTGTTTGTAACTGGCGAACTTCAGCTCTAGAGCTGAAGTTTTTATTTTTTTAACTAGCCTAGAGCTGAAGTTCTAAGACTGCAACTGCATGGTTGTAACTCTCTTTAGTTCTGCTGTAGTTCTGCGAAATAAGGTGTACCTTTGTGTCGGTTTTTTAATTTGTTCATTGTGCATGTTGATTTTCAGGAGTGCACAGTAGTATCGATTAGACATATCCAACAAATAAAATACTTGTTTGGGGTTCCTCTGCATCACATCATGATTAGATAGAAGTCAAAGCAATTTGTAAAGCACAAGAAATGGAACACCTCTTTCCATGGAGAAATTTGCTTTTACTTTAGAAGGAAAATCACTTAGCAGATTCATATCCAGCATTCCGAGAACTTAGACATGGAAACCTCTTCCCTTATTTACGACTTTTGATATGAAGCTTCAAAAGTTCAAAAACCCACTGCTTCGATTCGAGAATGTAGACGCAACTTTGTGCTGTCGTTGTTACCTTAGACAGAAAAAATAAAAAAAGCTACGAAATAATAATAACATAGAAATAATAACATAGAAGAGGTCCACAAATGACAAATGGTACATCTGAAAGGGAGAAGGAGAAGTTTGAGAAAGAAGAGGCGGATATAACTTTGAGGAGGAGAAGGAGGCGAAAGGGGCTGAAATTGTTTAAAAAGTGGGTACAAGTTAAAAGTTTTAAAAAAATGGGTATAGGTTAAATGGGAGCGACCAAATAGGGCGCCCGTGCAATTTTTACATACATTTGTGAGCAAATCAATATCAAATTATCTCGTGCGCATGCTATTTATTGTGTACAAATTGTTTGATCAATTATACTGAATTATTCTAATAGCTCATTTATACTATACTTGTGTTACTACCTTTTGTTCTACATCGAAAGGAACTTTTATATTTTCAAGTCTGGAATTTTTTTTTATCATGATATTTTGCTATTATTTCCTTATCTTAGAAATGCGAAATTGTGGTGGTACTTATTTCATTATACTTTTTCTTGTGATAGCAAAACTACTAGTCCTCTTTGAAAACTATCTGAATCAACTTTCTATGTTGGTGGCTGGAAATTGAAGGCCTGCATCTTTCATATTATATTCTTTGTCTATTATACAATTAAACTTTCTTCCAAGAAATAGTTCAGCTGGCTTTAAGAACAAACACGAGGTAAGCGCGCAGTTCTTTTAATTGATTAATTATTATAGAGCTAAATATAATATATTATCTTTTCGTCAAGCTTGTGAAGTTTCTAGCAAGCAGTTAAAGCCGGATTCAAGATTTTAAGTATATGGATTTTAAATTTTAAGGCATGACAACATATTGAATCGGAATAGATTTTATAGAATATGAGCTAAAATTATTAAATTTTACTGAACTCGTAACCAATGATGTACATCCGCCCCTGTAAGTAATGGAGCATGACCAAGAAGTCAGTCAACTGCGGCTGCAAGAAGTTTGATTCTTAAAAGAACGAATTGACTGTGCAGCTGCCCCACTGAGTCCAAAATAGTCCGTTCTACTTATAAGGACGTTTGTAGCATCATGATTTAAATAGCTTATATATACGGTCGATATGGTATGCCGCTTATGTATACGGTCGATATGGTATGCCGCTTATGTATACGGTCGATATGGTATGCCTTCGATCTGTAGGCTCGAGAGATTGCCCAAAGCCCGAGTTCAGGTGAGATCAAGTTCGAGTTCGAGGGACCAAACCCAAAGCCGAGGATAGAGCACGATGCATATCGAGGCCGAGTATGCTCGACTCCGAAATAGTACCGTTATGAATTTGTAACAGATTAAGCTAGATTCCTGCCACGTCCTCAAAATCATGGCACAAATCCCGAAATAGAATTGCACGATTCCGTACTAGGCGGTTAGACAGCTGTATTAAGAATATTCCTTACTGTAAATAGAAATATAACTTATTTATGCTTCCCCTATTATATAAAGGGGACCCCAATCATTTGTAAAATCTTCTTGTCGCGCCCCCTTTTTCCTCGTGGAGTCCGGGTTTCGACATTCATTGGGAACAACTCATTTCCTTTTGGGAATTGGGTATGAGATTTGAAGAGTCGCCGCCTAACGGATTTAAGGTGCGTTAGGGCACCTAAAGCAAGTAACTCATAAAATCGGTTTGCATTACCAGTGGTTGGTTAAGGGCTCGAAATAACCTTGAGGGGAAGGT